TTTCTTTTTGCTTATGTGGTGCTGAGGAATTGAACCCAGGGCCTCAGGCATGCAAGGCAAGCGCTCTACCACTGAGCCAACTTCCCAACCCCTCTTAGAATAGTTTTAAGCTCAATAACCAAAGCTCTTTTGGAGAATAGCTAAAGTAAATGTTTCCTGAGTATTTGCTCTGCCTAACATTTGTTGTATAGATTACCGTGCACAGTCTGGGTCTGCTCTACATAGGAGGGAATCCAATTAGCCAGAGGCCAGGAGTGAAGACAAAGGTTTATTCCCATCAACTGCCTGATCAGAAGATGAGGAGGACCAGGTGCAAGTGGCTGATGCCTGTAATCCTGGCTACTGAGGAGGCTGAGATCTGATGATCTCGGTTTGAAGCCAGCTCAGGCGAGAAAGTATGGGGGACTTATCTCTAATAATCTACTCTGAAAAAGCTGGAAGTGGTGCTGTGGCTCAAGTGTAGAGTGCTAGCCTTGAGCAAAAGAAGTTTAGGGGTCTGGTAGTGGTAGATAGAGTGCTTGTTTAGCATGCATGAAGCCCTGAGTTTGATTCCTCAGTACCACATGAACAGAAAAAGCCAGAAGTGGTGCTGTGGCTCAAGTAGTAGGGTACTAGCCTTGAGCAAAAGCAGCTCAGGGACAGTGCCCAGGCTCTGAGTTCAAGCTCAGGACCGCCCCCCCCCAAAAAAAAAGATGAGGCTTTTCATCCCTAATTCTAAAGTTCCATCTTGCCAGAAAGCTGATTTAATCGCAGTTTATGTAAGAGATGAAAGATTACAGACTGGCAGATACCGTCTTTACAGGTACAGGTTTGTGGCCAAATGACTGCGTATCTAATCCTAATCTCAAGGACAAAGATTGTGTCCTCAGGACATTCCTGTTAGTAATAGGTGTTTGGTGCGGTTTCTGAGTGGCTGACACGGCCTGCCTCGGGTTCGGAAGCTCATAGTCAGAAAGAAAACAAAGCCACTATGACTGTGAACCAGGGTCATGTGGAGTTAAATAGGGACCTGGACGTGAGATCTGACCTCAGTGCTGGTCCTCACAGACAGATTACAGTTTAACTTTGATGAAGTTGGTTCTGAATGCATATGTGTGTGTGGTATGTGTGTGTGTGTGTGTGTGTGTGTGTGTATATATATATGCACATATATATGGTATGTATGTAAATATGTATGGCTTAATCTTTAACGATTCTCATGAATCCACCCCTGAATACCTTGTAAGAACTTCAATCCTCAATCACTGCCAAGACACTCCTTGGAGAGTCCTTAAGCAGCTGTGAGCGATCTGAGCTAGGCCGGCGCAGTGGACAGCGGGGGACAACTCCTAAACTATCCCGATGCCCCGCATCTAGGAGACCGCTCTCGCTCCACTGTAGGAAAATCTGCCTCCTTTCGCGACTCCACGCATACACGGCCTCTCACCTCAGTCCTAATCATCCAGCTAGCAGCAACGCCACTAGTGGGCCCCGTGAACCAATAAACTTCTGCCACGTCACAGATCCGCCCACCCAGGGCTCGGAGATTCCTTCCCGGAGCTAAAGACTGCGCGGCGCCTAGCTCTGACGTCACTTCCGCTACCGCGATGGCGGCCCCGGGAGCGGCCGCGGCGGTTGCTGCAGCGACCTCGGGGGTTTTAGGGGAGGGCGAACCTGGACCCGGGGAGAATGCAGCGGCCGAGGGCACTGCTCCGTCTCCAGGCCGAGTCTCTCCTCCGACTCCGGCACGCGGCGAACCAGAAGTCACGGTGGAGATCGGAGAGACGTACCTGTGCCGGCGACCCGACAGCACCTGGCGTGAGGGCGGGGCCCGGGGCCTAGGGGCGGGAGCTCGGTGGGTGGGGCCTGCGATCGCGTCCTCCGGGATGGTTGAATGGTCTGGGCGGGTGGGGGGGGGCGGATCTTAGGGAAAGAGCGCCGCGCTGCGGGTGGGCGGGGCTGAGAAACCAAATTCTTAAGTTTCCACGGTGCACCCCTTCTGCCTCTTTCCCCTGTGGGAGGCGTCGTTCCGTGTCTTGCTCACTCTGCTCTCACTGGTATTTGCCTTCTGTCGCCCAGTACAGCACTAGCAAAGCGGACCTTCCAAAACACGCAAAAATTTCTCCTTCTCTGACGTCCCATTGCCTTCCCTGACCTTCAGAAGAAATCCCATTCATTTCTATGGCAAAAGCCGTTGCTGAAAAGGACATCCTGGGCCTTCTGAAAATCATACATGCTCTTCCTTTGGAATCCCTTATGTTTCCTTTTCCTGGCCACCTGGTGAACTCCTCTTTAGGTGTTTTTGTTTGTTTTTGGTCAGTCACAGGGCCTGAACTCTGGGCCTGGGTACTTACCGGCCCTTCTCAGCTCTTCAACTTAAGGCTAGCACGCTACCACTTGGGCCACAGCGCCACTTTTCTGCTTATGTGGTGCTGAGGAATGGAACCCAGGGCCTCATGCATGCAAGGCAACACTCTACCACTGAGCCACCTTCCCAGCCCCCTATTTAGCTTTTAATCTCATCTTCCTCGTGATTCTGGTTTTTTTTTGTTGTTGTTGTTGTTGTCCTTTTGGTTTTGTTTTGTTTTGTTTTTTGCTTTTGTTTTTGCTGCAAATACTAAGGCTTTAACTCAAGGTCTGGGCGCCATTCCTGAGCTTCTTTGCCCAAAGCTGGTGCTCTACCACTTGAGCCCTTGTCTTTACTTACTGCTTTTTGGTGGTTAATTGGAGATAAGAGTCTCACAGACTTTTCTGCCCAAGCTGGCTTTGAACCTCGATTCTCAGATGTCAGCCTCCTGACTACCTAGGATTACAAGCATGAGCCACTGGCATCTGCTTGTTCTTAATTTATATATATTTTTTGGTCCGTTGCAGGCCGTGAACTCGGCCTGGGTGCTCTCTCTCAGCTCTTCAGCTCAAGGCTAGCGTTCTACCACTTGAGCTGGCTTTTTCTGCTTATGTGGTGCTGAGGAATTGAACCCAGGGCCTCATGCATGCAAGGCAAGCACTCTACCACTGAGCCACTTTCCCACCCCCTGTTTTCAAT